TGTGAACTACACACTCAGTAGAAAGCAACAACTTTATTTAATGTCCAAATAAGGAAACAGGTGACGCATTTATCGTAACAGATACACTTCTCCCCCTTTAGACCAACCACCTACAAATGGGGGTGGTCTATATGGCACCAATGACTCATCGTATGTTGTAACCTGCATGCCACTACCATCTGACTCTGATGGTGGAAGAGGTGGTGGCGGGTAATATCTTTATCAGCCATAAAAATCCATTCTCTATCCCTCTAGATCAGCAAAACGCTCGATACTGTCCAATGCAAAACTCGTATGACCGTAACCATTAATCCGCGAGTTTAAACATTGTTCAATCCTTTAGTTTCTCCGTACGTTTCTTGACAAATGACACTCCAGTAACTGGTACCTTAGCTGTATACAAGCAAAATATGAAGGAAGCGAAATGAAATGCTCAATGCGGAGGTTTGACCTAGAGTGGAATGACCCTCGGTAAAATCACCTGACCTGAAAATGTTGTTGAAGTCCTAAATGTAATAACTGTCCTAAATGTAATAAAGTCCTAAATGTGATAACATTTGGTCTTAAATGTAATAAAGTCCTAAATGTAATAACATTTGGTCCTAAATGTAATAAGCCTTCAACGTAATCGTTTAATTGCGCTAGTGCACTGTTGTTAAAAGCAGACATCCAAATTGAAAGGTTAAAGTGACAGTTGTTGCACTAAAGAATCCTCTGACCAATATTCATGGCATACTATGGGCTCGCTGATATTAATAAGCGTCTTTTTTTGCCAAAGACTTAGGTTGAAAAGCATTGGCTACATAACCTTAAACTGATGTGCTTTTGGCATCAAATTGGCAGACGCAAAAACAATGAGAACACTAACCAATAGCTTTCTTTATATCATTAGCTCAGACTCTTTAATTTAGTGCAACACATTTTGACGATCTACTTGTGTGACCAGTGCTGAAGTTATCTCTTCATGAACCGAATTACATGAAAAAGGAAGTCCACTGACCTATACGTCTGACAAATTCCGGGCTGGGAGGTGCATTTTTTGTACCGTCTTCCCTTGCCAGATTTGAATGGGTCTGCATGAAATATATTGATTTGCTTATTGACCAAGCGTGAGGTCAAAATGACTGGATATTGGCCGAGTTTTTTTTACGTTTTCAGGGACTGAGACGAACGATAACAATAGCATGCTAGTTTATCATCAATTGTAGTCAATTTTTTTCCAAAAAAATGTTAAGGATTTCGTACCAATCGAGTTCATCCACTTGAACTTCCAGTCACGCATAAGCCCACTTTTGACTGGAAATGATTTTCTTCAGCTCGATCAATAGACCGCTTAGAGGACCATACTTTTTAAAAAGGCTTCGAGTGCTGATTAAACAAGAATTCAATCTATCAGAAAAATGAAGCCTTGATGGAAATCGTCTCAGACGATGCACCAGCGCATTGATCGTATATTAACTCTACGTAATGTTTGGTATGTGTGGCATGCATTACCAGCCAACAGGATGGCCGATGATGCAAACACTATTTCTAATTTTTTTTTTCCTAGAACTTCATTGGGAAGATTTCCAATGTGACATTCGTCATCTCCTCTCGACGCAAATAAGTCGATGTCTACCTCTGAAAAAAACTGAACCTCCCTCAGCTATCACCATCATTGGCTATACCATTGTCGACTTCATTTGCAATTCAGACTCCGTCTCGTTTGCTCGGCTTCCATGAGTTTGTCCCTTAGCTATGTCTATAGCAATATCTGTGTCGTCACCAATGCCGACGATACTGTCAGGTCCACTTTTTGCTTCAGTGTCACCCATTTCAAAATCAACGACGTCCTGCTGTATATGCATTTTATTTGAATAATCCTTGGAAACTTCTCCTTCCCCTGGGTCATTTACATCGTATTCTCTTTCATTAGCGTCGTTATGATCCACAACTTGTTCCGAGCTCACATAGTGTTCGCCGTGGTTCTCAGCGGAATGTCCAAGATACACGGTAGCTGCTGAAACACTCGCTGACGGACTGAACACATGCTACCCACCAACTCCTAGAGAGCAAACTATTTGGATGTCGATGTTATACAAGTTTGCTGCTGCATATAGCCTGATCTGATCTCCATAGGTCCCACCTCGCGCCATATGAAACCTTATAGGTATGCAACTTGATCTTTTGTTTCTCGATACGACCTTCCGTCACATGCTTTTTATTCGATGGTTTCCCTCTCAAACGTATATACACCTTTTCTCCGATGCTGTAAACCGAAGGCGGATTTAAGCGAAGTTGTGTTCGCTGCATCCGCTTGTCACGTCTGCTTGTGGCTTTTTTAGCTTGCTTTCGTAATTTCAAAGCTTGCCGGGAACGCCGATTACGGTCATTCTTAGTTGGGCGAACCCTCCCAGCACTAGAAAGGATTTCGTCTTGTAATCTGCTCTCCCTCTGAAGGCGTTGCACGTTCGTGAAATGTATATTTCGGATAGTGTTTTGTAAGCTATCACATCCTTAAAGTCGTTATTTAGAATTCTTTGATAAAGAAGGTGCTGTTTCGCCCAGTTTACCCCGTCTTGATCCATTTTTTGAAGGTCATATTCCATCTTGGATCTTAGTGTCCTGTGGCAACGTTCCACCTTGCCTTGTGATTGGGGAGGGCGCGGACTACTGTGAATCAATTTTATATTCATGTGATCGCAAAGTAATTTCAAGGCCTTCTTGAACTCCCCTCCTTGCTCGCACTGGATTATTTCTTGCGATCCATGCTCAATATATATAGATTCCAATTCACTTGCAATAACCTGGCTTAATTTGCTTTTTAAAGGACTAAGCCAAAGGAAACGGCTAAAAGCAAAAATCACTGTTAAAACGTACCTGTACAATATCCTATTTTACTCATATCCATCATATCTATTTGGTGCCTAACATGAACGTCTCTGGCTCTGATAGGTTTCAGCTTCGCCTTATTAAGAAACTTAACATTTCGGCGATAAAGACTTTTGTCCATATTTAGAATAGTTTGTATTTCAGCTCGACTTACTCCTAAAAAGTTGTCCCTCAGTGAGCAAGCCAACTTCCCCACACCAGATCCTTTCGTCCTTTCAAATTCCTCAACAACTACTTTGTTAACCTCTGATGATTTTAACAGTCGACGCCCCTCGAAATATGGTGCCTTATCACCATGGTCTTCTTTCACTGATATCCTTCCGCCAGCTCTCCAGTATCTCACAGCAGCTCCACGCATTGCTCTCGTCTGTTCTTTCACTGGTGGTTGCACCTTGCCCTCAACAAGGTCGAGTAGGCTTCATAAACGTCGTCTGCTAAAACAGAGGATTTCCGGTTCACTTCGAAGTTTCCACGATCTTTATAGGTTACAGACCTATTCCACAACAATGCTAGTAATGCTAAAACCATAACAGCTAAAACAATAAATATCATGTTGAATCAATGCAAGTATTAATGTTCTACATTCGATCTAGATCTCAAAAAACAGCCGGAATATTTCACAGGCTCGTGAAATGTTTATCAGTCGGATCCGCACTCAAGAATTTTTCCACACAGCCATACCAATCAATTTAACGTTGCTCGGCAAATCTTTGAGTTACTGCCAGTTATTTTGAAACTGGAAAGCTATGCTCTTTACGTGCATGTCATTCTTTTAGTGCTGACTCAGAAAAGTCCGCTTCAGAGTCAGGTCATGCTGTTTTATCTAATGTCTGATCGTTAAGGAGATCAGTGCGTCGAGCAGACTTTGTTTCCTTCTTCTTTCTTTTTTTTTTTTAATTCTTTGAATAAATTGGTATACCGGCTCACACGATTAGTTGTACTCACATCTCAGAGAAAGCAAGGGCACAAACTTTTGCGTGAGTCTTTGGGGACCGGGACATCACTTTCAGCCTTCAACATAAAAAATCATTTTTAAGGTTCATCATATCTCACTCGTGTGACTGTTTCCGGCCTTATATGAAACGTAATCGAGCAACAAGTACGCGCTAAAAAGACCTGTTGCTTATTTCGAATTACAGTACTAACTCTTCCATAGGAACTTTTTTCATGCACATCATGAGCTCGTTCGTGACATATTCCAGACTTTTGTGGAATGTCTGTTTTTTGATAGGCAATCTGAGCCGGTGATTTGTAATGATGTGCTGGTCAGTCGCTTCTTTGCATTTACACCTGTTAAATGTAAGCCACTGATTATATGATTCGATGCAGACATATGCAATAACTTATTCGTTTTTCAGATTTTTTACATACATTTCAAAATCAAGAGAACATAATTGTCCCAGTTATGTTCCCTTGGGAAGAAAAATGATTCTGTCCATATTCATGTAATATTTTTGCCTCGATATCAGCGATCCTGTAATGTGACTGTATACTGGTCAGCGGTTTTTTGGTTGCAACAGCCGTCACTTCAACATCTCGATGTGGATGTCCGTCATAACAACAATCCCTTTGAAGAAGTCAAACGATTGCTTTGGAGACTTATTACATTTAGGACTGAATGTTATTACATTTAGGAATTCATTACATTTAGGACCAAATGTTATTACGTTTAGGACTTTACTACATTTAGGACAGTTATAACATTTAGGACTTAAAAAAATGCTAGGAATGACTGGTCCGATGACACACCATAACTAATGTCAGAAACTGGCGTCTGCATGGTTTACCTAAAATCATTCCTCATTTTAACCAAAACCTATCTTTCTCTAGATATTCAGTAGACTTAAATGTGCTAAATGTTCCGTGTATCACGGTCCTCATTCAGAAGACAGTTCCTTTGGCTACTTGTCAGGGATTCCTGGTCTTTCCTCGGGTGACTCTAGGAGCAGTGCACGTTTGTTAACTAGTCAATCCAACATTGACCCAGTGGCGGATTGGACAGTCACAGATCTAACCTGGCCATTGTCATCTCGAACTGCAACAAAGACTCACGCCATGGGCCATTTGTTTCTGAAAGTGCTGTTGTCTTTCAACAAAACGATATCACCTTCTGTGAAGTTTCTTTTCTGTCATGTCACCTTTGCCTTAGTTGTACCTTACTCCACCTGTTCCAAAATGTATTAGTGTCGTGTCACCTTTGTCTCGGATGTAGGCTCTGCAAGTACTCTTTATTCCACCTGTTTTAAAATGTATTAGTAATATGCTGTACACGCTTCCAGCATCGCCTGCAGTAAATATCTTCCCTTTGGAACCTTCCTGGAGGAGCGAGTAAAAGCTTGGTTTTGCTGGTAAGAAGTACGTTTGGCGTCAGTAGCAATGGTGATAGTGGGTCAGTAGTGAGAAGGCGACTATTTACAGCTGCTTCAGCTTCACCCTAACAGAGTTTGCAATGATTCGTTGTCTAAACTGTGACCACGTCGCTTCAAAAGCGTTGCCATAACATTTCGCACAGACCTCATTTGTCGCTCCAAAACACCTCTAAAGTTACTAGCTGTAGCAGGGGTTCTGATCCACTTAATGTTGCCTATTTATTCCAACAGGCCCTACGGATAAAATGCCGTAGGGCCTGTTGGAATAAATCTGTTTCCATGGAGTGTGCCACTTCAATATGAGTTGCACGGCTGGCCAGGCTTGTAAATAGGGCTCCGTACCTTTTAACTTATTTCCTGCCCTACTTAACGTGCCACGGACCGAATAGTCTACCGCACAGTATGAGAACGGTGGCCCGATCTCAACACGCAAGCTGAGGAGATTGACCATTTTCTGTTGTCCAACAGTACCGCGAAGGTATGACACACCTTGAGATGAAGTGTCCCACTGCTGCCTTTCCATTGATGACCTAGTAACCATTTGAACGAACCTCACTCAAAGTGACGCCTCTTCCGCTATGGTGAGTATTCTTATGGGTGTGACGGATGATCAAATCTGTGATATGGCCAGTCTTTACGCACACCTTCAGCCTCGGCTTGAAATTGTTTCACGCTCTTCACTTCTTTATGGAAGTCACTTGTTTGCACGAGCTTGAGGATTACCACTTGTGCTTGTTCCAGGCCTCTGACCATGATAGTAGGGGAACTTTCACCGTCACAATTACCACTTGTGCTTGTTCCAGGCCTCTGACCATGATAGTAGGGGAACTTTCACCGTCACAACTCCGTCTGTAAATTTGAGGGCCTTTATTAGCCAGAGGTTTGTTGTCTGTAGTACTGACGCTCATCCTTAAATGCTTTTTGTATTCCCAACGGATGGCGATTGCAGTCTTCAAACGTTGGTGGTTAGAGAACCTGTCAAATCTACTCAACATGTTTCCACGCTCTTCATTTACTGTGGCGTATGCAGTGACCTTTCCAACCTCTAGAGAACTGTGATCAACCTCATTTTCATACAAGCCTTGTAGAGGCCACTGATCCTCTGTCTGCTACAAGAAATCCGGGCCCTCTATCCAATGTGACTTCTCCACAAACTCCTCGGCATTCAGACCCATTGATCCTTCATCTGCTGGGTTGGATATAGACTCCACCTACTGCCATTGCTCAGGTACAGTGTGATCACGAATTAACTGTGCTCTCTTTGCAACGTACACCTGGAACCTTCGAGACTCATTACTGGTGAATCAGAGCACGACCTTGCTATCTGTGCAATAAAACTCATTAGATTCCTTCTAATCTAACTTTTCCTTTAGCATAGTGGCAACTCTTACTGAAACAGTAGCTGCAGTCAATTCAAGTCGTGGGATAGTGACAATTTTCAACGGTGCTACACGAACTTTACCCTGTAAGAGGGAACAATGAACTCTATCATTTTCATCGATCAACCTGAAATAAAAGCATATTCTGTATCCTCTCTGCGATGCGTCTGACATGTTATGAAGCTGTGCGGTGACAATTCTTCCAAAATCAGGAGGCTTAAGTGCCTTCGGATGTCCAGCTGCTTAAGTATCGGTAACTGATTTCCCCACCTTTCCCATTTAGCGAGAACTACTCCATCGATTGACTCGTCCCAGCACCTCCCATGACAGATCTCTCGAGGTATCTGCTTTCCAACAAGAACGACAGTTGCAATGAGCCCAAGCAGGTCAAAGATCGAGCTTGTGGTTGCCAGTATACCTCTACGGGTGCATGGCTTCTCCATCAACTCGATTTTGCGTTCAAATGCATCTGATTCATAACAGACACATCGCGGAGTGGACATAGAGTATGCTCTTATCTTAGGTTGATTATGAAAATGGTAGAGTTCATTGTCTTCAGCCGTGCGTTTCAAAGCAAAGTCGGAACATCGCGGCGATAAACTGATAGACGGCAAAGACTGCTGTTGGTCTGCTTGTAAGGTCGGACCCTTGTAACAGGTGATCATTGAGCGATTCACCCTAGTAACCAACTGAGCAATCACATACTACACGGATGCTGCTTAGTTTTCGCGGGTGATAAACTCCCATGATGAGCTAAGTGGCAGACTTTTCCTTGTTTTGAGGAGCTAGTTGTTCAACGTTCACCTTTCAGGCATATCCCTTGTCGATAATTTCAGACCTGAAGCTGGTGAAGTCAGGACAATACTTCAGGTCACCTTGGAGTTTCTTTTTTAGGCCGTGCAGGGGCTGCACTGCTTGAAGACGGTTATTTGGTAGTTGGACATTCTTTCCTTCAAACGGCAGAGGCATTTCATGATGCACGTCACCTCTATGGCAGATTCCGTCTCCTACAATCTACAGGAACTGACGATCTTCTCTAGATAGTGCGTTTCATTTCCCTCTCTAGATGGTGCAGTTCCATTTTTCACAGTGCTGGACAGTTCAGACCGATGAGAAGTCATATTTCTAAATGTCCCCCACTTACATTATCAAGGAGATAATTTATTTGGATTGTCTTTCTGGTAGAAGCACACTGGGACTATACCCATAATGTTGGAATGTCACTAGCCTTGGTCACACTGCGAATGGCGGTGCACACATTGACTTGCTCTTCCCTTTTCTTTTAGCTGGTTTCTCATGTTGGCTGCTCCTTCCTTCCGTCTTCACCTCTTCAAGTCTCCAGTTGTGATCGTCAAGTGACGTTGAGTGTTTCTTATTGTGTATCTGGCATGATTTTCTACTCAGAACTATAACAACCAAAGCATAAACCTTTGAGTGTAACAAAGTCTCCTCGCTCTAATAAGAGTTTTTTAGAAACTTAGTACATTCATCTGGGTGGTATATTTTGGAGCACAAGGAAAAAATGATGGGATGAGAATTCTTCCTTTGAGCAGACTGCATTTGTCACCAAATCGGCTTGTTCGGACACAAACTGGCAGAAGTTGTTGAAGTTGGCTGCCTGTCCCGTGTTACTCCTAATCTTGCTATTTCCGTCCATTTACTGCGAAGGCATCTTGGCAGCCTTTCTCAGAACTGGCGCAGAACATTGGCTGTGCTCGAGTCCTTCATGTATTGCATACCTGTCAGGGCGTTCCTTGCTTGCTCAAAGGCAATAGAAAATTCTTGTAACTATGTTACGTAGCTACCTTTCACAGCGGATCAGCGTGATAGTCCTGTGATGTATGCACTTGTAACCTCGTATGTGTTGCTGCAAAAGTCTTTTATCCACTTTGTACGAATCTTCATTCTTCGTTTGTAAATAGCCTTTAATCAGTTCCTTTGCCTTTCCACTAGTGTATTATTCCAAGAAATACAAGCACTCACTAGGATTATCTACGAGAACTTCAAAAGCTGGGTGCTATGAATGATAAGTATCACATCACAGCTCCAGAGAACATAGGCGGCTTTTGGCTAGGTAAGAGACTTCTGGCCTGTTGCGTAACAATCATTTCTGACAGTTCTGCCTATTTCCTTTGAATGTCAGTATAGACTTGATCTGGTCTTGCACTTCCTACAGGGCTTGAATCCTTTCCGTAAACGTACATACATTCTTGCTGATCGCCATAAGATAGCTTGGTATCAGTGGGAGCCCCATCGTCTTCTTTAATTTCATCTTCTCTAATGGGAAGGTTCCTTGGATCAAACGGTTGGGCAGTTGACTGAGATGGGCATGGTAACAGAAGTGGTCGTTAGAATGGTGCTGACTATAGCTGAACTTTAGAATTTAACAGAAGTCACCTTTAGTGTAGAATGACCGTTAGGTTTGCCTCATATAAGATGGGAATGGAGGTGACATTACCATTTAAATCTTTCAAATAATTATTCATGCCATCAATAATTTGTTCTTCGTCAAACTTCTCATGAGTTTTCTCTTCAGCTTTTTGCCTCTACAATTTGCTGCCAAAGTTCAAGCTCCAGAGAGGCCAGTCTTAGCGTTTGCTTCTCCGTTAAGAATTTTGCCTTAACCTCGAATGCTGCCGCCTTAGCCTTTGCCTCTCAATCAACTTTAACTTAGTGGATAATGTTGAGAAAGTGGAGGACCTTGAGTGACCGACTGATTTAGATTTCACTGTGCATGTATCATGCGAGTCACCACGCAACTTCTTTGTCTCACCCAGATAATACTTTTCCTTAATACGAAACACAAACCTTATCACGACTGTTATACCATTGCTGAGCTAATTTTATCTCACCATCATCATCCAAGGCCCTGAGATACATATCATGTGCTTCATGCATTTTAACAAATAGCTTATGGAACTGCACAACTTCAGAGGGCGCTTGTTTTTCATCCTCAAAATCTGCCAACACGGGCGAGATTATGTTCATCTGCTTAGTTAAGTAAGCAAGAGCAGTTTTCCGATTTTCCTTTAACCTTTGAATCTCAAATTCCCTACCCTTTTCCGTTTGTTCGCGCGTCCACGTGAGTTTCCTTAACAACTACAATACCAGTCAGCGGAGTCTAATCCACGAGTCTACACAATTATTAATCCTTTAGTCTCCTTGTAAGTTCCTTGACAAATGACAGTCCAGTAATTTTTTCCTTAGCCATATACAAGCAAAGTATAGACGAAGCGAAAGAAAAGGCTCAGCGCCAGGTTTGCAAAGGATGACCGATGTCAGAAAACTGGCATTTAAAATATCTGCTATAACCCTGAATACCATTACCAGTTAATTCTTTTAATAACAGTGCCACACCAATACTTGCAAACAATATACCAAGTAACCCACCACTTTGTTTCTTTGTTGGTTTGATAGTAAAAGGACTTCCTAAACTCATAGCTTCTGCTAGTTTCATTAACCTGGCTTGCAGTTAACATAAACTGATGGGGGATAAGTTGTGCTATTTTATCAATGGGTATCATATAACTATTCTGGCTACTTTGACCATGTGAACTACTTCGACTAGTTAAAATAGGTATTGCAATATGTGCAGTTTATTTGTGTCTGCTTCTTTAACTATTGAAGCACTCGAAGCATTTGAGTTAGCTTGTGAAGTTTGTGCAGTTGAACTGATTAACTTATTTACGCTTTTTTTCTGGTTGAGCCATTTCAGCAAGTTAGGCGTTTTGTTATTTAAGCTAGATTGACCATGTAAAAAGTAGTACCGACTAAATTAGTTTGATTATTTTGACTTCTTACACCAATTGGGCTACATTTTCCCTCTGTCTATTTAACCAGTTGAACCATTTAAGCTACTTATGCATTCTGTTTGGTTGAACCACTGAAGCGAGTACCGACATTTGAACAACTTTAACCAACAAAGAAAGAATGTGCAATTTATGCGGTTTAACTGTCTTAGCAAATTTAAACAATTTAGCTTGATTGTGCAGTTTGTGCAGTTAATACTATAGAGCTTGTTATTCATTTTGTCCAATTGAACCAATTAACCTAGTTGAAGCATTTGAAAAACATCAACCATTTCAGATAGGAGCAATTTGTGCACTTTTACTGTTTCTGTTACTTTGATTATCTTAATTAGTTAAACCAATTAAGCCAGAAAGTGCAGTTTGTACGATGGCACCATTCAGGCTAGTTATACATCTCGTTCAATAGAAGCATTTAAGCCATATTAACTGCTTCAACCAATTAAAATAGATTTTACAATCTGTGCAATTTGACTGTCTATGGTGGTCTGACCGTTTGAAGTACTTTAACCCTTTGAGATAGATTATGCAATTTTTCTCAGGTGACGTCAGTTTGACTGTTAAACCAGTTTAACCATTTAGATTGTCCAGGTTGTGAAGTTGAACTGATTAGGCTGGTTATCCATTGTTTTTTAATTGCAGCAAAAAAACTAGTTTTAGCATGTGAACTACTTCGACCAATTGAGCTAGATTGTGCAGTTGATCCAATTAAGGTAATTATGCATTTTTCCCAGTTAAAGCTTTTAAGCTAGTTTGACCATATGAACCACTTCGACCAATTAGGATGGATTGTACATTTTGTGCAGTTCAATTGTTATTGCTCGATTGACATTTAACCTGTTCAAATATTTAGGTTATGTCATTTGGTTAGACTAGTTCGAGTGGTCAATCAAGCTTAAATTGTTTAAGTGGACAAAATCCATAACAATGCATTTTGTCTACTTGAAGAGTTTAAGCTTGGTTGACCATTTGAACTAGTCTAACCTGTTGACCTAGGCTATGTAAATTGTGCAGTTATACTATTTTTGAAAGTTTGACTATTTTATCGTTTGAACGATTTAACCTAGTTATACGTCTTGTCCTCTTGAGCCTCTTAAAGCTAGCTTGACCATTTGAACTTCTTGTATATTTAACTATCTTCGCTAGTTTGACAATTTAAACAGTTAGTCAAACTATCGAAAACAATAAACCTGCAAAAATTGCAAATCTCTTTCCACTGGTTACACTTCTTCAAATGGTTAAACTACCTAAATTTTTTCTAGGAGACAAAATGCATAACCAATTTAACAGGTTCATCTTTTCACTCAAGCTTAATTGCTTGACCTGGTTAAAAAATCAAACTAGCAAAAACAGTGAAATTGTGAATTGCACAGTCTATGTTAAATGGTTAAAGTAGTTAATATGGTTAAACTAGTTGAAAATGTGTAACTGAAAAAAATGCATAACTTGCTTAAATGGTTTACTGCACATCCTAACTTAATTAGTTCAACTAGTTAAAATGGTCCAACTAGCTGAATAAGTCGAAAGGCTTAATTAGTTTATATGGTTTAAATAGCCAAACTAGCCGAAAGAGTTTACCCGTTCAAATGTCACAAGCTATATTAATTGTTTGCGGTCTTTAAATGATATTAGCATTAATGGTTACACCGGAAAAAATACATCAGTAGCTTTAATGGTTCGATTGAACAAAACGCATACAATGTAGCTTAATTGAATCCAGTAGTTAAAATGGTCAAACTAGGTAAATTGATTCAACTGGTTAAATAGTCAAACAAGGGAACACAGTTACACTGCTCAAATTGGACAAACTATCTCCATTACTTCAAGTAGTTTAAAAGGTCAAACTAGCTTAGAGTTAGGGTTTAATCGGACAAAAAGCATAGCGAGCTTACATAGTTTAACTGGTTAAAAAGTCAAACTGGCGAACTCATTTTAACTGAAAAAATTGCACAAAGCGTAAAAAGTTAAACTGCACAAAATGCAGAAAGTAGGTGAGTTGGCTCAATTGGCTGTTTTGAGCTTTGTGTAATGGAAAAAACAACGGTTTGGCTTTTTTGTTGCTTAAATCATTCTGTTTTGAACCTTATTGCACCAAAACGTTTTATCGCGCTGAAAAAATGTTTTTCGTAAATCGGCAGCTAATCACACTAATTTTAACTTTATCTTATTGAAAAAAAGTTTCTGCCTTTTGTGCAGCAAAGCTAAAAAATAGCGACATTCGGCGGCAAACAACCGAAACAACGTTTCGAGCGAGATAAAGCTGAAATTAATGTGATTAGCTAATAACAGGCAGAAAACTTCTTTTCGGTGCAGTAAAACTAGAAACAGCTTAATTCAACAGCAAACTAGAGAAATAACGTTTTCGGTGCAATAGACCTGAAAAGAGCGTAATTTAGCAACGAAAAAGCAAAAATGTTGTAATGAGGGAGATATAGCTAGAATCAGCGTGATTAGCTGCAAACAAGCGAAAACCTTTATTCAGTGCAAAAAGGCAAAAAACAGCGTTATAACAGCGAAAACGTTGTTTTTAGTGAGATAAAGCTAAAGTCAGTCAATTAGCTGCAAACAGGCCAAAAAAATTTTTTTAGTGCAAGAAAGCTAAAAACAGCGTAACAACAGTAAACAAGCTCAAAAAAAGGTTTTCGGTGCGACAGAGCTGGAAAGAGCGTAACTTGGCAGTAAAAAAGCAAAAATGTTCATATGAGTGAGAGATATAGCTGGAATCAGCGTGATTAGCTGCACTATTTTTAGTGAGATAAAGCTTAAATCTGAAAACAGGCCAAAAAACCAGTTTTAGTGCGAGAAAGCTAACAACAGCGTAACAGCAGCAAACCAGCGAAAAAACGTTTTGGGTGCTATAGAGCTGAAAAGAGCGTAGTTTAGCAGCAAAAAAGCAAAAATTTTGCTGTGTAAGATAAAGCTACAATCAGAATGATTAGCTGCAAGCAGGCCAAAAAACCAGTTTTAGGGCAAGAAAGCTAACAACAACGTAACAACAGTAAACAAGCACAAAAAAGGTAATCGAAGCGGCAGGGCATAAAGAGCATAATTTAGCAGAGAAAAAGGAAAAACTGTTGTTACAAGTAAGATCTAGCTAGAATCAGTGTGATTTGCTGCAAACAGGCGAAAATAGCGTGAAGAGCTGTAAACAGGCAGAAAAACATTTTTCGTTGAAAAAGAGCTGAAAACAGCGTAAGTTAGCGACAAAAAAGTAAAAACGTTGTTTTCAGTGATATGGCAAAAGTCAGCGTTTTTAGCTGCGACAGGCAGAAAACGTTTTCCCGATGCAATAAAAAGCCGAAAACAGTGTAATCTAGCGATAAAAAAGAAAATAGGTTATCTTGACTGAGAAAAAGCTAGAAACAGCTCGATTAGCTGAAAAGGTGCAGATTAGGTTTTTGCGGTGAAAAAAGCTGAAAACAGCGAAGTTAAGCAGCAGAAAAGCAAAATCGTTGTTTTGAGTGAGATAAAGCTAAAACCAGCATGATTAGCTAGCAAAATATAAAGACATTTTTTCGGTGAACTTAAGCTAAAATCTGCGTGACTCAAGAGTAAACAAGCAAAAGCAAAACGTTTCCGGTTCGATAAAACTAAAAATGCTTCATTAAGCAACGAAAAAGGAAAAACTATGGTTTGGCTAACATCAGGGTGATTAGCGAAAAACAGGCGAAAAACCTTTTTTGCGTGTCAGATCAATTCAGCAACAACAAGCGAAAAAACGTTTTCGGTCAGATATATCTAAAAAGGAGGTAAATTTAGCTGCATAAAAGACTTAGTCTTTAGTGAAATGAAGCTGAGAAGAGCACCAATCTAGCAACAAACAAACGGAAATATCTTTTCGGTGTCATAAAGCAAAAAACAGAGCAGTTTAGGAATAAAAAAAGAAAAACGTTGCTTTTCGTGACATAAAGTCCAGAAAAGCCCAATCAAGCTGCAAACAAACGAAAACAAGTTTTGGTGCGAAAAGGCTGACAAAAGCGTAATTTGGCCACAAAAAACGCGGAAACATTGGATTAAATGAGATAAAGCTAAAAGCAGCATGATTAGCTGCAAACAGGCAAAACAATTTTTTTTGGATGCAACACTGCTAAAAAGAGCGTAATTCAATGGGAAACAGCCAATTCAGCTAGTATGTCCATTTTTTTTGCATTTCACTGTCTTCGCTTGTTTGATGGCTTAAAACCATTCGACCCAATTTAGCTTTTTGGTGGATTTTGTCTATATGAGCCATCAGAGCCAACTCAGCTAATTTCTGCATTTTGTGCAGTTTGACTGTTTCCGCTGTTTGCAATTTTCAGTTTAACTGTCTCCTTGCTAGTTTGACTATTTAACCACTTAAACTTTTTAAGCTTGTTATGCATTTTGTTCGATGAAACCCTAATCCTAAGCTAACTTTAACCATTTTAGCTACTTGGCAGTTGAACCACTGAGGCTGAACCGATTAAGATAGTTATGCTTTTTGTCAGTTGAGCCTTATCAGCTACTTTGACTTTTTGAGCTACTTCAACCAATTAACAAAGATATTGCAAACTGTGCAGTTGAACTGTCTTGGCGGGTTTGACTATTTAACCAGTCGAATCAATTAAAGTACTTTAACTATTTTAACTACTTCAAGCAATTCAACTAGACTCCACAGTTTCTGCCGTTGATTCCTTGAAATTATTTTAACCGGTAGTTTTAAAGGTAGTTATGCATTTTGTCCAGTTAAAGATAGTTTCAACATGTGAACTACTTCGACTAATGGGATAGATAGTGTAAGTTGTGCAGATTAAGTGTTATCGCTCTAATGACATTTAGCCAGTCGAGCCATTGAAGCTATTTGTGCGTTTTTTCCAGTTTAACCATTTCAGCTAGTTCTAACCAGTTAACATAGATTCTGTAGACAGTGTAAGTAGTATAGGACGCTACCATACCGGGTAACCAGTCACAGAGCCGGATATCGCACACGTGACCACTAAGAACAATAGACTTCACACCCAAGAGTAATAGAACAATAGGTTGTCGGCAAATTTACAAAGTAGAACATTGGAACAATAGATCTGTTGTTTTCAATTCCCAAGGGACTGACATCACCATCAGTAATATATTCATATGCAAATAGAAGTGGTGGATTATATATATGTGTCTAAGACGGATTTTGTCATCCATGTGGGAGTCTTTTTTAGGCAAGGCGCATGCGTAGAAAATGTAACTATGATTTAAAACATCTAATTCGTCAAACACCGCACATTTTTCAATTTAAGGAAAAGTTTTTAAGTCGTGAGAGAATTTTTCAACACTAGAGCGCAATCAAAAATCTTAAAGCGCGGTAAAAAAAACTTGTAATCCATAGGAGAGTTTTTTCCATTTAAGCGCATGAACAATAAAAACTCACGCATAAAAATAAACTTTCAACATGTTTATTACAAAAACTTTTATTACAAAAAGCAAGGGCGAAAGAAAAAACCTAAGCGAAAGTTACAAAAAGCAAGGAAAAAAAGCAAGGGCGAAATTCGACTACGAAATGGGTCTTACCTTCAGGCACTTGATTAATACAAGTTAGCATCGGACAAAGCCTTATATAGAGATAAGCTAAGTTGTGTTCTTTGTTTCTGAAAGAGATAATTGTTTAAACAGTTTTAAGAGAACCTCCATGTCTTTCTCTAATTCGGAACGGATTTTTGCCCTTTTTTCCAGATCCCATTAGAAACTCCTTTCCAAGGAACACGTGGAACACATACAACACACTCATCCACCACTGCACAGCTTCCATACAACCTTTCTCTATAGATTCTTGAAACTCTTTTTCCAATTTGTCTTATTTCTCTTTCACTGCTCCTAATATTTTTTCCAAATTGGATTTTGTATTTAATTGTTCTTCTTCGAGTTGTCCTGTGATGGATTCTAAAGATTCCAAATAATCTGATAGCATGTGGTCTACATTCGACTTCACTTGTTCTAAGGTTGTTTCCGATTGTGTCACTGTGCGAGTTAATGTCTGTAGACTCTCTTGTATATTTAGAGCCTTGGAAGTTTGTTGTTGTTGTTTCAAGTGTTCCAAGACTAGGGAGTCTACTTCCTTTTTCAGTTCTTCTTGCGTCTCTTTGATGTTAGCAATTTTTTCATGTACTTGTTCAGCCACGGAAGTGCATGGAAGATGAATGATGAAAGAGAGTGAATGAGTCAAGTTATATAGGTATTTGTTTGAAACTAGTTTGACTGGTGATGATGTCAGTTTGCTTGCCCAAACGTGCCCAATTCCCTAGAGTAGAAAATCTATGATGTTCTTGATACTTGCCCAAACTTGCACAAGTCACATGTTTGACGAGTCATGATGTCACTTTAAAAAACAAAAAAAATTTCGCTTGTCCACACTTGCCCTTATCCCTAGAGTAAAAACTAGTTTGACCGATAATAACGTCATTTTATGCTTGCACAAGTTACATGTTTGACGAGCCATGAGGTCACTTTATAAAACAAAAACAAAAAAAACAAAATTTTCACTTGCCCACACTTGCCCTTATTCATAGAGTAAAAACTAGTTTGACCGGTGATAACGTCATTTTATGCTATAAAAGAAAGAAAATCAAACGAAACATCATCACTCATCATGGCAGAAGCACACGTAAAAGCTCTTATGAAGAAAAGAAAGAGAACCAAACCTGACCCCATAATCAATCGTAAAGATGACTTGGTTCCTCCAACAAAAGTAGTGAAGATTATTACGCTTGTGCACACGATTCAGAGAAGCTGTTAGCCGTGTACTATGTTTTGCTAAGAAAGAATTTGCTGAAATGTCGGTGTCGACAACCCATGCAACTCTGCCTGTCTTACAGTGACATGAATCCGAAACGTCTGTACTTCCGTTGTCAGAGAAATCGCTGCAAAGTATTTCAATGGACAGATGAAATGCCTAGCGGTCGCAATCAAGAATTATGGAATCCCAATTTTGTGGATTTCAATGATCCCTTGTGGGAAGACATCTGCGCTCATACTCAATTCCGAACGACCCAAGACTCCAACAAGATTGAATTTCCTCCTAAAGTATGGGGCATGAAATACAGAGCAGAAGATCGTGAAGATTTGTTGCGTATCGTGTACATGATGCGCCAATTGAGACACAAGCAAGAGATATAAAGGAAAACGATCGAGAATCAAGAATCATTTGCTGCAGTTTTGATCATGACAAGACGCGTACCTTTGATAATGTCTGAACCATTATCTATGGAGAGTTTACAGCAAGAAGAAACAGTGACTCCGGACGTAAAGACGGATGTGGTAGAAAGATTTGAAAAGAAACTTAGAAAGACAAAGACAAAGTCCAGAAAAAAAAAATGTCAAATGTTCAAAATCGAAAACTTTCTGAAAAAGAAACAAAGAGGACCGCAAGGAATTTGTTTAAATAAGAGAGCATCTTTGTTTAGTTTGTTGTCAAAGATGAAGTGGGCCAAGACTCCTTTGGTAAAACTGTTGGATAAAAAGAAACTAGATAGGATGTGATATAATGACATGATTGTTGTGACTAAAGTTCAATTGTGATTTGACATCATGAGTTGCGTTTCTTGTGTAGCGAGCTTTGTCAGCGAAGCCATAGATAGATTTTGTTGGAAGATTGTGTTACAAATATGCAGAGACATTTATCAAAAGTGTTTTGCCCGAAAGATGATTGGATAGTGTTTGAAGAGGAAGACATTTATCCACCTGCGAAAGTGTTTGCCGAAAGGGTCACGAGTCCCTTTCGTTTCATTGTCTTTATACTATGGTTGCATGATACTTACCCGGAAGATGCTTGGATTCATTTCAAACACATTAAGGCTATATATGCAGAACGTTGTACTTCCATCTTTTCATTACTACGCCTATTGTTGAACCTATGTCATGGCACCCCGCACCAAGAATAGAAAAAAGAATAAACGTGACAAAGAAAGAGAATTACTTGAAGCTTATGGAGATGCTACAAAACCGGGAAGTTTGGAAGGTGTGTCGCGTTTTGCTCGTATACATCGTCTGAAACCTGCCGAAGCTCAAAAGATTCTCGAAAAAGATTTGGCATACACGCTCCATCGACCGAGACGACGCGGAAGATTTCCCACCTTACCCGTATTGGTGTTTGGTAAAGACGAGCAATGGGTTGCAGATTTAATGGAAATGCAACCTTTGGCCAAATATAATAGTGGAAATCGTTATCTTTTGGTAGTCGTGGATGCGTTTTCAAAATACGCTTGAGTAGAACCCATAATATCTAAAACGGGAATAGCCGTTACCGAGGCTTTTAAAAAAATCTTGAAACGCGCCGAAGGAAGAACAGAACAAACAGTGCAAACGGATGATGGAAAAGAATTTTACAATGACACATTTCAAAAATTGATGAAAGATTAAGATATTCATAGGAAGTATAGGAATGAGACCCTCAGAAGTGACTTTGGAAAATGCTAGTGATGTGTGGGATACATTGTACGGTAAAAAATTAAAACAACAACGCAAATCGAAACCCCGATTTCGAGTCAACGATAGAGTTCGATTAAACGAAAAATCCAGGATGTTTAAAAAAGGATATTTACCAGGTTGGACTGAAGAGGTGTTTATTGTGTCAAATGTGGTACCTGGAGTGGTCTACACCTATAAAGTCAAAGAAATGGACGATACGCCCGTGCGAGGTACTTTTTACGAACAAGACTTGCAAAAAGTACAAATACCCGACGACGCTTTGTATCGTATAGAAAAAGTCCTTAAACGCCAAGGCAATAAAGTTCTTGTCAGTTGGAAAGGTTTCCCTCCGAAACATAATTCTTGGTTGAACAAGAAAGACATTCAGAAGCTATGACGGATTTCTACGTACACTTGGAGAGCGATGCGTGCGTGCAACAGTTTCCGCGGAATTCACAGCACAGCTTTAAGAATCGTTTACCTTATCCCATCTACATGAAAGAACGAGGATGGAGAGTGGGATTGGCTAATGTGAGTCATGCTCTAAGCCGTCCGAGAAGATTTTCCTACGACAAATTTGGAGAAGAGGGAAAACATATATTCTGGGGAGGCATTAGTATGGAAATCACCTATAACGATCAGAGCGATATTGAAAAAATAACCCTGTCCAATTTAATATACCTGACTTGGACTCGATTCGTGGAAATGGGACGCACTTTCCAAGGTGGAGTGGAATTCATGAAATTCCTGGTAGATTATTATGGGGGATTTATATCTGAGACCAAAAGACACGGTGCGGATTTCATGATTAAAAAATACGACAAAAGAGCTGATGACCCTCACCAGTTAGATTTCGATAAGGTCTTACTCGAAGGAAGAGGATACATTACGTTCAAGAGGGAAGGAGACGATTTGATCATCGACAACATTCATACATGGCGAGAAGACAAGAATGTATTTGGAAATGCAATGAATGCACGACCTAGTATTGGTCAGAATTGGCCTTGGCCATGGACTGGATTCGATACAATGCTTTGAATGATGAATACTTACTTCAACACAATAATTTACAAATGATGTCTCTGGAAAAACCGGCAGAGAGACCTCAGGATTACCAAGGAAAGTATTGGAAAGTGGACGTTGAGTTTCTTTATCTCAGCGTATTTGCCGATTGGAAACTTACCAATCTGAATTTCTTGTTCGAGAACATGATGGGATGGAATATTCCTCACAAACACGGTATCGAAAGAACGTTGCGTGTCGAATCGAATGTGGCTGCTAGCACAATTGTGGGAAATCAAATCACACATGTCTTGTGAGAAATACAATATGTACCCTCGACGAAATATTACGAACCCTCTCACATCCAATATATTCCAGTGCATCAACAATTTTTCGACATAATCGAGGTGGATCTTCGCGAGGAAAACGGCGAACACGCTACCTTTGAAACGGGTAAACCACCGTGACTCTTCATTTCAAGCAATATGGCCACAAGCGGAATCGTGGTGACATTACCCAGCAGTAGTAGCAAATCGGAATTTCCCAACAATAAAACGTCCAGCTACAAGATTCGTCTACCTTACCCATTGGAATTGAATGGAAAATGGGAAGTGGGATTGAGTAGCATCACTCTACCCGACACGTACCTGGAAATGAGTATATTGAAAGACATGAACACGTTTGAACTAAAAACTGTCAGAGATTACATTGGAGACAACGTGGAAGTACCTAAAAACAATACAGCCATTTTGACTGTCACTTGAGCGATCAAACTATTGAGAGGCGCGTTTCCTGGAATAAAAAATTTCATATTGCATGTGAAGTACGACGATATCAGACATTCAAATGTCATCACGGATGGAATTAGCTTTATGAAAGTGGTGATAAACAAGTACGAAGAACTTGTCATGTAACGAAGAACGAATTATGATGAAGGTTCAGGAAATTATACCAGATTAAAAGAAAGTCAGACTACGTTAAATACTGACAAGAAGACCAAGGGAATTTTTTTACTTCAAATGGGAAGGAGACGAGCTGGTCATAGACAACAAAAACTCTCCAAATTACGAGAAACCAGAACATCCTTACATGTTCATGAGTTGGAATAAAGACTTGGCTTTGAAAATGGGATGGAAGAGAAGAACTCGTACAGATTCGTGCAGGAACTAATCTCATACCGGAAAGCTATGCAGAGTACGGATGTGCCTCTGCGGCTCACGATCTGATGTTCAGACCCATGCAAACGGACAAACCTAACGGTTTCGACATATCTACCCTTCAGTATTACTTTCACCTCGACGAAAATGAAGAACAAGTGTATCTCAGTGCGGAATGTAATTGGAGATTCAAAAATATCAACAAAGCCTTTGATCACATGATGGGAAAGACTGCGCAGAGTTTTTTCGTGTACTCAGACGTGATGATGAGTGGCATAGTAGGAAATCAAGTCACTGATCTCTTGCGAGAGGTTAAATACCAACGCACGGGAGCAGGAGTGAATTATTTCGAACGGTTACACATTCAGTACTTACCAGTGCGACGCAACACCATTCATACCATCACAGTAGAAGTGTCCGATCATAAAGGGGAATTGGTTAAATTCGGAGAAGGAGACACCATAGCGACATTACATTTTAAACAGCAATCATGAGAGGAGGTTCTTTAAAGAGATTCAAACCCGATGTTGGAGGACAAAAAGGAGAAGGAATAAAAGATGTCTTGAGAGACGATTTGAGCGATACGTGGAAAGGAGATGTCGCAGGCTTTAAAAAGAAAGCGCCTCTTCGTAAGAGACCATACAACGCGATCAGCGGTTTTCAACAAGGATTAAAGAGCGGTATTAAGAGAGGAGTGACAAACGAAGTGAAACGTCAAGCAGCCAAACGACTGAAAGGATTTTTTGATTGAGAATGAATCGTTTGGGACCCGTGTATTCTAGAAAGGTGTCTAGCGTGCGTTCAAGACAAGCTCTAGGTGTGGGTCGACAAAAAGGAGGAACCATATTTTCTACCGTGAAACGGCGACGTCGGCGTCCGAGTAAAGTACAAAAAGGAGGACGAATCTTTCAAGAATCACCATTTGTGCCTGGATTCGAACCTGAAACTGTCAAGTGGTTGACGAAACGCACCACAAGAAGAAGAAAGAAGAAACGATAATGTCCACGGAAGTCAATCCCGCGTACGGGAGTTCGCTACCCATGGTCAATGCAAAATTAGACCTTTTCAAAACGCCGCCGACGGACATCAGTACCTCTTCCTACCTTATGGTACCCATTCAACCGTTCACTACTGGCACGACACCCATTGATTTCCAAGTGGATGCCCAAGGGGATTTTGTGGATTTGAATCGAAGTGACTTCGATGTGGAATTACAATTGAGTTCGACTGATAATAATAACTTGGCTAGGACTGCCGATGACACAGACACCATGATTGCACCCGTGAACAATTTATCTCATTCCATCTTCAAACAAATCAACATGAGATTGAATAGAACTCTGATCAGCGAACAAACAGACACCTACCACTACAAAGCGTATATGGAAACTCTATTACACAACAACAGACAAAGACGGTGAAACGATCTTAGTTCCTCAAGGATGGTATAACCACATCGATGTGGTAAGCCAATACACAGCTGCGAACATCAAAAATGATGATGCTCAGCACGCAGCCCTATTCCAGCAACACAAAGATACTTTGAAAGCACAGAAAGATGCCCTAGTTCCTTTTGTAGCACAAAAAAGGCATATGCTGAGGATGAAACCTCATTTGGAACCCTTTATGATGGGAAAACTTTTAGTGCCTGGAGTACAATTCAGTATTCAATTTTACATGAATGCACCAGAACTAATCTTCGATGCTGTGACTATCCGAGGAAAAATCAGGGAAATCAAGATGAAAATGTACCTGTGCGTGGTACGGTTAAATGACACCATCTTTAGAAGTCTGATGAGTAAAATGACCACCCAGAAACAAATTGTCAAGTATCCCACAGTCAGGTCCGAAATCGCCACGCGATCGTTCAGACAAGGAGAAAGAATACTGGAAATACAAAATCCCTTCCAATCCAGGATACCCAATTTCATTATGGCAGCATTGGTGAACACAGCGGCTTTCAATGGTGCCTACGACCGAGATCCATTTTGTTTTGAAAAATCTAGAGTGACCAGTTTCAAGCAATTTATCAGAGGAGAAGAATATCCTTATGAATCTATAGACCTCAACTACAACGACGGACAAAAAGATTGGACAGGATATCACAGATTTCTACAAGCTTCTGGCTGCATGACCAAAGGAGAACCTAACATGGTCTTGTCCAAAGATTGGGGGCAATATTACGTAGGTGCTCATGTCAAAAATGGCAATTGTACTCTGTTTGCCATCGACAACGTAGCCAGCGGATGAGTGGATTGTCCCTACGTAAACCCCAAGCAATCGGGTGATATCGTATACAAGATTTTGGTGGGCACCGGAGGTTTACCTGCAGACACCACAGTCCTTTTGTTTGCTGAATTTGAAAACCTGATAGAAGTGGATTCTAACCAAGCCGTGTTGTACGACATTGTACGTGGACGCACACCTGGTGACGCTTGAAGACGGAAAAGATAATCTTAAATAATGTGCAGTTAGATTTTTTTTAGCGCGTCACGATCCTAGACTCGAACCGCATTTTTACGGAACTGTACGCTGCAATAAGTTACCTAGACATCCTCAGAAAGACAGATCCGTCGGATACATTGTAAACACAGATCCGCATGATCGACCTGGAAGACACTGGATAGCACTTTGGACAACCCCGGAGAACGTGTGTGAAATTTTTGATAGTTATGCGTTACCGTTACAAGTGTATGAAACCACTCAGCCGTTGATCGATTGGATCAACACACATTGGAAATACGTCGTGCGATCGTCCAAGAGTTTACAGTCTCTTTACAGTCAGAGTTGCGGAGATTATGCCTTGATGTATTTGAGACACAGCTAGAGGAAAAGACATGAGTAAATTTTGAAACTGTTTTCTAGACATGTTTTCGTAGCCAACAATCATAAAGTAGGTCAAATGTTAAAAAAGCTAATAGAAAAAGAAATTTCTCAAGAAGAATGGTGTATGACCTCAGGCAAAGACTCGCATCAAACTTGTAAATGTATTTTTGAAAAAAAATAAAGCTTTTTTTTGATATAATGTCTTGCGTGATGGCGGGGTAGCTCAAACGTGCAGAGCTTCGGACACACAATTCCTCACCAGTGGTGAGGTAAGTCCGTCCGAAGGCTATAGGTTCAAAGCCTATCCCACTCACACTTCTTTTACGAGCTGAGTTCTGTACCGCGCAGGCGCTTTTTTTTTTATTTTTATTTTTTTACTTTTTAAAATTTTTTTATTTTTTATTTTTACTTATTTTTAATTTTTTAAATTTTTTTTCCTATCAAAATCTCAGTATGGGATGGCTGCTGAACATGTACAGCGTAACGTTTACATCTCTAAGGATGTCAAGTTTTCTTTTCAAAAACGAAATAAGTAAAAAATGATATATAAAAAAAAATAAAAAATAAATTTAAAAAGTAAATAAATAAAATTAAGCAAGTAAAGTTTGCCGTGACCAGGATTTGAACCTGGGTTACTGCAGCCACAACGCAGTGTCGTAACCACTAGACGATCAGGGCAACGGTCAAAACATATTTATTTGATTCTTTGTTTCACATCTTTTGTCTCTATAAAAACCACCGTCATCTGTAGCTTTGTATCAAAATCATGGAACGTGCGGTACCGTTCAAGTTTAAATCTCCGTCCAGTATTTTAATCGTAGGACCTTCAGGTTGCGGCAAAACTTGTTTTACCGAGTCTTTGTTAGTACATCATTTATCCCATTTGTTTGCGCAGCCACCTACCGCTATAGTGTATTGTTATGGAGCATGGCAAGACAAATTTGATCTTATGAAACACACGGGTATAAAATTTCACGAAGGAGTCCCCGATGTATCACATCTACAAAAATGGTTTACAGCGAAAGGAGGTATTTTGGTATTGGATGATTTAATGGCCGAAGGTGGTAATGACAAAGAAGTCATGGATTTGTTTACCAAACATTCTCATCACCGAACATTACGGTTCTTTATCTCTGTCAAGATATGTTTCCACCTGGTAAATACGCCAAGACGATTTCTCGTAATTCGCATTACATTGTGGCTTTCAAGAATCCTCGCGACCAACTGAGTATGCGTAATATTTTATTACAAGCATATCCTAAAACATGGGAACAGGTGATGGAAGTCTATCGAAAAGAAACCGAGCGACCGTTTGGATATTTGACGGTCGATTTTCATCCAGCCAGTCATGATAGGTTTCGCATTGTGAGCCGCTTATTAAAGCATGAAGGCTGTATGCGATGTTTCATTTTACCTCCGAATAAACACCTACAAAGGTCACAGGCTATGAAAAAGAAAAGAGGAGGGTGACGTATTGTGCAGAGAGGTGGATTTGCTCCGGCGGTAGCGGCTGTACCAGCTAAAAAAGCTTTGGTGACTTCGGCCGTAATCAAAAAGCTCGGAAAGAAGGCAGCCGTTGGCTTAGGTCACTATGTTTTGAAAAAAGGAATGAAGAAGTTATGGTCAAAGAAGCCAAAGAAGGGGAAGAAGTGAGTGAAACATGAAACGACTTTTGAGACATAGAGCTTTCTTGCTCTCTATACTACGAGAGGGAAATCGAAACAAACGTCAAGACTTGATTCAACACGCCAACGGGGAACAAATCAATGCTGTCAGTGAATTGGTATTAAACATGTTAAAAAAATCGTGTTCCGGTGTCACCACCGCTCATGGCTAAATTGAGAAGACACAAAAAGGTGCTCAAAGAACTGGGTAGGAGAAAAAATTCTATAAAAAAGGGACGACTTCATTTGATGAATCAGAAAGGCTCTGGCTTTTGGCAAGGTCTACACGAAGCGTACTGTAACTGTTTTCAATCATGAGTTGTCAGACTTTGAGTGCTCTGACACATTTGTTAACCGAGGTTAACGAATCGGTAGAAGAATGGAAAGAGAGCAGTCATAAAATGGAAAAGAATCGCGACTATTGGCGTAAGAGGGCTATGGATTTAAAAGACGGTGAAACGATGGAACTTTGTGCAGAATGCGCAGAACGATTACGTTCGACAACGGACATGCAAGAACGCCTAAAGTTTCTTGAGACGCAAATCAAACATTGGCAGAATTCGTCTGCTTTTGAAAGCACCAGATATCTGACGCTCTTGTATAAGATTCACTGCGAGGATTGCAAAAGCGACATAAATAGATACGATCAATACTGCGCTCAATGCGTGCGTTCGGTCAACGAGAGTAAACACGAAATAGAGTACTGGAGAAGGGCGTACGAGGCGTTATTGGAAAAATATTATCAAGAACCACGCGACGTCGTAGATGGCTGAAGAATACCTCATGGTGAAGCTCGAAGAATTCCAACGGCTCGTTCAATATTACACAGGACAAATTACGGACAGTGCCTTACTTACAAAGCAGGTCGTGTCGCTGCCGAAGAGCATATTATTGTAAACAATCCAAAGGTGCCTGATGCTATAGCGAATCAACAGACTAGAGAATTGTTACAAGAACGTATACGATTGACGAAACGATTAAGAGATATTCCAAGTGTACCCACGGCCGATTTGGCAGATGAAGAGTCTGAAGAAAGTGCCATGACAGAAGGAATTGTGGAAAATTTACTCAAACGCATGGCAAAGAAACAGAAGGAAAAACTGCAAGATGAAATTGCGCCCCCCAAGTCACCCAAGAAGGAAATTCCCACTCCTGGAACCTCTAAAATACCAGCGCGTATAAAGAAACGAGTCTCAACCACACCTGGCACCTCATCTATGAAGAAAAGGCCTCCTCCTTCAAACTTTCGATCTCTAATGGATGATTATCGTGAGCAATTAGAAACTTCCTTTAAAATTATAAAAAAGGGTAAACAACCCGCCAAAGTCAAACGCAAGACGGAATTGGATTGGTTAAAAGAAGGCGAAGAGGCCGCTTTACGAAAACCCTTGAGAAGACAACTGGACAAAGACTATGAGGAGTTCTAAGAAAACAATAACCAAAAGAAAGGCTCCACCGAAAAAAAGGCAGAGAGGAGGCAAATTTGACATTCAAAACTGGATTGCAAAGTTAGGAGTGGAATTTCATCCTTATTCTTTATCTAAAAAGAAACGTTATCAATTCTTAGAACCAGGCACATTTTTGAAAAAACGCTTGGATCGAGGGGATCAGGGCATCAATCGTTTGGATCGCATTGCCAGACGGCACGACATTGACTACTCTAAGGCCAAGAGTCTAGAGGATAAATGGAAAGCCGACGATAAGATGGTAGCCTCTATTAAAAATCTTCCTGGCAAGAAATCACTGATGGAACACCTGGCGCGTTACATTATACAAACTAAGAAACAATTGAAATTGTAATAACAAAACTTGTTTATTAATTAATACAAACTGTTATTGATTACAACTAGCCTGTCCGTGTATTTTTTCTCTTTCGATAATGTTCGACATTGTCTTTTACACCTTTAAACACTTGTTTGGCTAAAAGTCTACCTAAGGCACCGAACGATGGAGATGGACCCGATAGGAACATGCTTAAACCTTCGGCGATTTTGTCTGTTGTGGTGGGACCCGGCCGTGATATTCTTTTGACAGTACTCGCCACCGCACCTCCTCTTTGTAGTCTCCTTCTCCTTCTCTTTCTCCGGCTTCTCATGGTTTACTAATGAACGTCACTACACTTACAACCTTTTATATCCGTACGGATACGACATAAAAGTGTCTTTGTCAATCACGCGTTTGTCAAACACTAAACCGTGCTGTTTGATACGCTCGACAGTCTTAATTTTCTTTGTTTTGGTTTCCCAAACAAAGAAATAAGGGTTGGTCACAGGTACGGTTCTTCGCTCTTCGTCCAAAGGATCTGTAATTTCCTCCAAGACGTTTTGTTTCATTACTTCGTAATTCAGGTACCGACTTCCACGATAATTCAGAGTAAATCCACGTACTTTACAGCAATACTTGCCTTGTTTGGTGAGATATCCGTAATTTTTGGCACCGCCCGATACGAACTCGGTAATGTAATCATCCTCGTTCAATTCACTGGTCATATCGCCGAGATAATCGCCTAATGCAATCGTGGTTTGGCCGGGTTTGCATGAGTAGATGACGGAATCTGTGTCGTAGTAGAGGACTTGATCTCGTAAGGGATCCAGATAACTGTATAATTTCAAGCGGGCTTGAGCGGTCGTAAAGGCAGCGATGAAAATATTGGTTTTCTTGCCTTTAGAGGCGCCTTCGTCCACGTAGCTAAACACCACCTCTAAGACATCTTCTGAAAAACCGCGAATCGCATGAATGACCATCAACGAATTATTTAAATATTCAAACAATTCGTGAGGCGCTGTGACTGATTCCACCGCAGGTTTGTTGAGCCGTTCTCCAAATTTACTCCAGAATGAGTTCAACATGAGTTTGGCTAACGAACGTTCGGCTGCGTTCTTCACAATTTTTCCTGGTTCCATTTGGATACCTTCAGTCACTTCATAGTGGTTAATGTAATTCTGCAATTCCTCTGGGGTGCGTACATGAGATGGCCGCCCGCTTGATTCTTGTTTCATTTTCAGCCATGTATCCACGTACCCAATAAACAATCCTTCGACGCGCTGGTCTTCGGGAAAATGCCAGATTTCATGAATTTTCACAATTCGGTACCCTTTTTGCACGGCTTTACTGATTTCGGGTGTACACCACGTACCGTGGATGAGGCGTTCTTGATCGGTGTGAGTACAGGTCCATTAGCGGTCGAGCATCGGTTCGCTTGTTGTTGTTCCACACAGGTACGGCATAACGGAAAAGTCAATTTTCCTCCACTTCGATAGGGTAAGACAGGATTGAACAATTCTTCTGGTGGTACAATATCCACTTTGGCAATGCCATAATAATCTGATAGATCGGTGATCTGAGGACTCGTTAAAATCTGTGGATGTCCCACGGGATAAGTTCCGTATTTGTTCACCCACGGATATTCAGAAGTGACATCGATGTAATGTACTTTTTCTCCTTTGGCTTCATCGGTCTTGTGGTACAAACATGTAGCACCGGTCCTTCCACCGTAAAATGCATGACGCGGATCTAGGGGTTCTACAATTTCCAAGGTATGAAGAAACTGTATCAGTCGCGGGTCGTGTTTGGAGAGGTCATCCCAAAAACATTCCCACATTTCCACCACGGTAAAACCCATCAAGCGTAGCAAAGCGGTTTTGGCATAGCTCGCGTCGTAGACTTCTTCCATGGAACGGTCTAGATGCACTCTAGGAACTAATCTGCGGTTGGGATGGCAGCGAGGACAACCATGCCATACACAGCCATGAAATTCGTACACGGTCTGGGTCACAGGGTCGAAACCGTCCACGTAACACACACGCGTGGGTGTCACGATCGCGTGTTCCCCGCGACTCCCTGCATACGTCACGCGATCTTCCGTTCTGGCGGGTAAACCATTGTCGCGTTCTTCTTCTCGAAGTGTATGTTCCACCCATTTCAACCATTTCAGAGCTTTCAACGATTGATTATTACGAGCACCTTGCCATCCACCCGCTGGTTCCACAGCAATACAATCAGCACTCAGATGATGTCTTCGCCAATACAAATTACAGGCACTTGCAATCGTGATACATTGTTCCATAGGATCGAATTGCGCCTCTTGAGAAAATTATTCTCAAAATTTTTGGCAACCCGCTTTCAATAATTTGACGTCAGAAATGCAGTACTCTTCCATTTCTTGGCGTAGACTGTATTCCACATTACGTCGCACCTGGTCTTGATGCCAATTTAGAAATTCTTGGCGTTTGTCATGATTCATACCGTCAGGATCGTAAGTGTCGCTGGGTGGGATCGGTCCGACATAAGATTGGTTTTCGGGTGTGTTAAACAGATGTGGAAAAAATTCTTTTTGAGTTCTACCAATTCAAAAGCTTTAGGAAATGAAGCTAATGAAAAGGGTAGAAAACAAAGAGTCCTTGAAGGTGATAGGGCCGGACGTGATGGAAAGGACTTTGATGCCGACACAGACTTGATTTTCCACCAGACGATGTTGATTGTACAGTTCTTGTAGGATAAACATACCGTCATAACCTTTAAGGTTGTGAAACATGACAATGACAGGTCGTTCGAATTCGTCTTCATTGATAGCCAATTGATCTAGAAATTCTAGAAAGTCCTGAGAACAACGTTCGCCGTAAAATACATGTGTATGGTTCTCCTGATCGGTTTCGCAACATACCATAATAGGCCGATGTTCACGTCGGCTGATTGCATCGCTTCGTAATCGGCATAGACAAAGATGGGTGGATCTTTGAAATTTAATTCATCAGGGTCCATCGCTGACATAGGGATGCCTTGACGCTGTAATCGTTTGATGCGAGCATTTTGTTCTTCTTTAGAGCGTCGAGGTCGTTCCTCTTCTTCGGCAGGTTGAATGAAACATTTAAGGTTCTGATATCTACGTCTTTTTTGGCATACGGGACATTGAGTGACACCGCATTGGTGTCTTTTTCCTCCTTTGTTTTTCTTATTCCGGGGATGTTCGATGATTTTGCAGCATTCAGTACATTTGGTGAAAATGTCACACATGGTTTTCTTGTCTTTGTCGGATGACTTTTTGTGATCTCGATAACAATCTGTTCCGAAGAAGTCACGATGACATTTATCACACGTGAGTTCCGGTGTTTTGTGGCGCACATAATCGGGACAATCTTTTCGATGACAGGCAATACATTTTCGGCCTTGACAGGGATGACGTGTCAAGTCGTCGTGATCAAATCCTTTTTCGCAATCAAAACAGAAATAGGATTTGTTTAAAAATCCTCCATACGAAGTACAACCATGATAATGCCGATCGACTTGAATGAGTAGAATTTTCTTGTCGGCCGTAGGTTGTCCTTTGTAAGTGATCATGTGCAGTTTATCTACAGTTAAGACAACAATCTGGTACTCGGGACTCAAAGCTTTCTGAAACATTTCCAATTCTTTTAATCCACACGGTCCTTCGGGAACACCAGCCAAACTATGGAGTTCTTTGGCTTGAATACCTTGCACAGGATAACCGTCACGCAAATTTTCATACAGGTGTCTTCCATCCACATTGTCACCTTTATGCAAACGTGCTTTCATTGTGACGATCGCTCGCGCGCAGCATAATTCATCTGTATTCTTGATTTTTATGACACTACGTTTAGCTTTCAAAAACGCTTCCACATTTCTTTTTCCCACGGATCTTTTTTTTCCCTTTGCCACTACCGGCGGGCGGGGTACGGATCAAAGTCAATTCGGTTTCAAAATTGGTGTTGGTGTTAAACTTTTCTCCAGAGTTTAGTTTATTCGCTAAACTTTGCAAATACGTTTGCATTCGTTCACTGCTCTGTTGAAACTCTTTCACGGAAAATGTAGTAGATTGAAATGCGTGCGTGTAGCCTTCGGCCTGCATGTTAAAATGAAGTGTGTGATGTGGCTGAATATCTGGTTGGTTTTGGATTTGCTGAGCAATCGCACGTTCTAATGCATGAGTGATTGAAACGCCAACATTATCATCTGGTGAAGGTTGGCGTAATTCTTTCAAGCGTGCTGTAAACCGTTGTTTCGCCACCACTTTTTTCTTCCAACGTTTACGCGGCCCCACGGTCCGAGACTCGAATTCAAAGAGCGGTGATTCGATACGTTTCACAGCCTTCAACAATTCCTCGTCACTCATCTCATTAACCATTTTCGACTGGATGTTCTCCACAACCTTTAATAACTCTTCATCACTCAACTCTTCGACAAATTTTCTCTTTGCCATGATGATGTTCTCTCACACGCGTGTTCGAAATAAATTGTGCGTTTAGAATGTAATGTTTTTTGTGGAAATCAAAGGTGAATACTCAGGGGAATAGAGGGTTTCTTTTGTATTAGTTGGGCAAGTTTGAGCAAGGGAGGGCATGTATGGGCAAGATTGCGAAAATATTTTCACTTGGAAAAATGGTTGCGAGGGGTTTACATACACACGCATAAACGCACCTATACTGACTCAAATATTTAATCAACAATCGTATTATGCGCAACGAAATATTCAGCCAAGAGTCCGAACGTGACCGACGCTTCATACAGCTTTCTTGTTCATTTCTTTATCAAAATAAAACTCACCTTTGAATAGCATGGACCTTTTCCTTAATTGAATAAAAGAGGCAATATTGTTACCTTTGAATAGCATGGACTCTTTCTTTAATTTAGTAAAAGAGGTTGTATTGATTAAACAAAGAGTTGTTCGTTCCTTCCTCCATTACAACTTGTTGCTATGTTGAAGAAAAGAATTGTGATACTGAATGGTGCTAGTGAATTTTCAGATGGCAAGTATCTTATAGTATGAGTATCGTTTCAAAGTAAGTAAAAAAGCACCAAAAAACAAGTTTTGTGATTACAATTTCAAATGTTTCTTAGTTTGTATACTGTAATGCGCTGTTCGTTTCTTAATTAACTTACCTTTGAATAGCAAGGAGTCTTTCATTAATTGAGCGAAAGAGGCTGTATCGATCAAGCACAGTTGTTCGTTCCTTCATTGTAAAGTGTATTCAAAGAAACTTACCTTTCAATAGCATTGACCTTTTCTTTAATCGAGCAAAAGAGGCTGTATTGATTAAGCAGCGTTGTTATTTCCTTCATTGTAAAGTGTATTCAAAGACACTTTACCTTTTAATAGCATGGACCTTTGATCAGGCAAAGAGCCCTAACGTGACTGACGCTCAAGCAGAAAAGACCCTTTGGGACCAAACAGACGCTTACACACATACAGATTCACCCATCCACACCGTGTGATATTTACAAAACGCTCAAGAAAAAGGCCTTTGGGACCAAACAGACGCTTGCCCACACACACAGTGTGATATTCACAAAAGCTCAAGAAAAAGGCCCTTTGGGATTTTGACCGAACGTAAAAGAACGTTTCGTGGACGAAGAATTTAATCACATTTCGTTGATGTTATAACGCCCTTCGCTGATTTTTTGGAAATACTGATATATAAATTTTTTTTTTTGCAAAATGATTGGAGTGAGAGCACCTCACGGTAAGTTCATGTCGTACTCGAATATTTTTCCGTTTTCATAATTGTCAATTGGTGAAGTATGAAAAGACCTAAGTCTCACTTTATTTCTTTCAGGAACCGAAGATCGAGCCCGCACGATTTGTGTAATTGCTTGTCATGAAGAAACGCCCTGCTGCAAGCAGGTCATTCACACCTCCTGTTTGATGGACTGGTACCAGTCGCAGCAGCAAAGACACCTACGGCCTTCATGTCCATTCATGTTCATTTTTGTTTGCGCTTTATAGTTAAAAAATTCTCTCCCGACTTAAAAACTTTTCCTTCAATTGAAAAATGTGCAATGTTTGACGAATTAGACGTTTTAAATCATATTTACATTTTCTGCGCATGCGCTTTGCCTAAAAGACTCCCACATGTATGACAAAATCCCTCTTAGACACATATGTATAATGTCATGTTATGCAGGAACACGTCAATACATTAATGACGTCATGAATATATTACTAATGGTGATGTCAGTCTCTTGGGAATTGAAAACAAAAGATCTATTGTTCCATTGTTCTACTTTGTAAATTTGCCGACAACCTATTGTTCTATTGTTCTTGGGTGTAATGGTTCAACTGGAGATAACGCATACTTAGCTTTAATATTTCAACTACACAAACTGTACAATCTAATTTAATTGGTACAAGTAGTTAAAATGGTCAAATTAGCTTTAATGAATCTACTGCTCAAAATAAATAAATTAGCTCCAGTAGTTAAAATAGTCAAACTTACTAAATTAGTTCAACTGGTTAAATAGTCGAGCCAGCGAAGCTAGTTTAACTGCGAAACTGCACAACCTATCTTAATTCCTTGAAGAAGTTAAAATGGTTAAACAAGACCAGAAATTTGTTTTTCGGTGTCATTAAGCTAAACCTAGCACGATTCCGCTGGAAAAAAGCGAAAAAGCGTTGTAGACGCGATAAAATAGCGTAATTGGGCTTAAAAAATCAGAGAAACTTCGTTCTAAGTGAAATAAAACCAAATTCAGCTTGATTCGCCAAAAAGACTTTTTTCGGTGTGATAAAGCTAAAAGCGACTAAATTTAGTGACAAACAAGTGAAAGAATGTTTTATTGTGATAAACCTGAAAACAGCGTAGTTTAACCAAAAACAGCGACTTGTTGTAATGTAATAAGAAGAAAATTGAGTAATTTAACAAAAACGTCTTTTGGGAGGTAAAGCTTAAAGCGGGCCAATTCAGCTGCAAACAAATGAAAACATATAGTCAATGCGAAAAAGCTGAGGAACACGTCATGATTTGGCCACAAAAAGCGCAAAAGTGATGTTTTAAGTGACATAAAGGAAACATCGCCGCGAATAGCTGGAAGCAGGCAGAAAACCTTTTTTCTGTGCTATAGAGCTAAAAACAGCGTAATTTTAGCAACAAGTAAGCCAATCAATCTAGTTTGTTCAGTTTTCAATGTTTTACTGTTTTGTCCTGCGTATTTAATTCAGCCCACTCAGCTAGTTTGAGCATTTAACACAGTTTAATTGATTCAGCTTCTTGGATTTTTTCAGTTTGACTGTCTTGGTCAGTTTAACTCTTAAACAAGTTGAACTATTCAAGC